GGTAGCGTTTATTATAAGATTATTAATGTACTATTTTATTGGTTATGTTGGAATACTTTATGTTGAAATGACAAGAACATTGAGAACAACACCAACGTAAAGTATTCCAACATAACCAATAAAATAGTACATTAATAATCTCATAATTTCAAAAGAAAAGCGACAAGCCCTTTTTGTCTTCTTCAACCTGTTTGGTATATTTTTTTTTTATAGTCATCTATCTCATCAAATTCAAATTTAGAGGTCTCATCGACCTCCATGTTCGTGCTATCTGTGATATCTGCACCAAGTCGGCCTAGATTGGCCAAAGCGTCTGCTGTTTGATTTTTCTCCCTTACGACGTGGAGAATACTAGTAAAATTGAACTTTGTCATATCAATTCGCACTTTGTCCAATATCTCTTGAGCATCCGCATCCCTGTAGCCTCTCCCATTGTTGATTACATAAGCCAAGTTTTTGGAATCTGTCTCAAAAATTAATTTCTCTCTATCTTCTTTCTTCGGAAAAAAATTTAAGCACCACACCAAACTATTCGAAAAGGCCTCTAGCTCTCCTACATTGGTTTTGCCCGATGTGTTTTTCCAAACTTGTTTACGAAGCACCTCCCCGAGGTGGTTTCTGATTACGGCACCACCGCCCTCACCCGTAAGAATTGCTTTTTTTACGATGCGGCTCTGACTTGTAGAATTTGATTTATCCTTAATCTCCACAAACTTAGCTGAATAATCCATCGATATTTTGAGTTTTCCCATCGGTGGGGCTTCCACTTGAGACCCAATAACAAGAATAAAAATTTAAAAATTTTAATTTCAATTTTTATTTAAAATAAAAATGAATAAACAAATCAAAACATGAGCTGATGAAATGCGGTGGGAATGAATACATAAAAAGAGAACCTTGGGGGCGGGCTCGGAAGGGTGGATCGGAGGGTTGCCGGAGGAGATCGGAGCTTCGGGGGAGATCTTGGCGGAGTAATGACGGATATAGTTATCCTTAATCTCCACAAACTTAGCTGAATAATCCATCGATATTTTGAGTTTTCCCATCGGTGGGGCTTCCCACTTGAGACCCAATAACAAGAATAAAAACATAAAGTACATTAATTTCAATTTTTATTCAAAATAAAAATGAATAAACAAATCAAAACATGAGCTGATGAAATGCGGTGGGGATGAATACATAAAAAGAGAACCTTGGGGGCGGGCTCGGAAGGGTGGATCGGAGGGTTGCCGGAGGAGATCGGAGCTTCGGGGGAGATCTTGGCGGAGTAATGACGGATGTAGGGAGACGAGATTCCAAACATTCTCCGAATAGCTAACATTGTCATCGGGATGGACTGAACGCCGATTGAGGCAGAGTTGTCGCGAGAAGAGATGAGGGTTTTAGGGGTTTCGGGTTTTTATGTTTTGGGACTAGGCATTTTTTTAATAGACTATCTCATATTAGACTAGCCCACTGGTATAATTTTACTATGGATCTCGTTAATCGACTATGGGCCGAAGAATCAACAAAACCCTAGATTTGAGAAGTGACGGCGGCGGATTGGTCTTTTAAAATTAACAGACTATCTCATATCTTTTAATAGACTATACCATGTATCTAATTCGACTATGGGTTTAGTTAATTGACTATTGGAAAAATAATAATAAATATGGAAACTGAATTAAAAAAGACTACGAACTATATTTTAATGTACTACCCAACACACTTAAATCGGCTGTTATAAACAAATAAACCAACTATCGATCGGGATCAAAAACTCACTCGACCACAGCGGACAATTATTCCGATTATTGCATAAACCAACTACGAAGCTCATATAAAACAACTCTGGTCCGATCTGCGTGAACCATCCTCTTCTAACTCTGTCAATCCTCTTCCAAACAAACATCATCCGCCAAAAATAACGATGTATATATGACGACGTAATTTTGTTAAAAAACGTTCTACTTAATAGAATCAAGTATCAACACAACTCTTAAAATTGTCTAACCATCGTAGACATTAAAAGGCGATTAAAACGATGGAACGTTGGATAAATCTTCAAAAAAAAGTTCTACACGATTTGATAGACACGGATTTGATATAACGGCCAATGATCTCACGTAATTTTATTCCGTGATTTTAGGCAACGTATCAGCAAATCTCAAATCACGTAGTAAAGGAAATAAATGCCGATTAAAAATAAAACAGGGGTGTTAAAAGAAAATTATATAATATATTTTGGCAAAATTGGGTCTATCTCAAAAAGGGGAAAAAAATTGGATCTACCTCATTAGAAAATATGAACAAGGGGGTTATCTCTAATAAACCCTATTAATAAAGATATCCAGACAATAAACTCATTTACAAAAGTCCACACATGGTCCAGATTTTTGTAAAAGACTAAAATAGCTCATCATACTTTTATATGCTCCGATTTCATCCTTAATTTAATTTAACCTCAATTTGACCCCAAATTTCACAAATTATTTAATTTTGACCCAAAACACATTTTTATGGGCAAACGCGTCCGTCACCGCCGTTGACCTTTTTTTTTCTCCTGTTTTTTCCACCATCGGTTTCCGGCGACTTTTTCGATTTTTTTTCTTTCCTTTATGTAACATCTTTTTTTTTTCGTTTACACAGCAATATTGCTGTGATTGACAGTAATATAGTTAACATTACTGTAAAACATAGTAAAATTAACTATACTACAAATTAAGACAGTAATATTGCTATACTAATCTCTAGCACAGTAATATTAACACAACAAAACTCATTATTATTGCGTAATAGAGTAAATATTACTATGTTGACCGTTCAACAAATGTAAACATAATAAAAAGCCAAAAGAATTAATATTACTGTGAGTGACAATAATATTACCGTCAACCACAGTAATATTACAATAAGAGACAGTAATATTATCACGTTATTCTGTGAATAACTCAAAAAAAAAAAAAAAAAAAAACTCCAAACAAAATAATAATATTGATGTGGTTGACAATAATATTACAATAACAACAGTAATGTTACCGCCAACCACAGTAATATTATTGTGTTTACATTAATATTACAATAATAAACAGTAATATTATTACGTTACTCCGTGAATAACTCAAACAAAACAAAAAACCCAAAAAAATAATAATATTGATGTGGTTGATAGTAATATTATTGTATTTACAATTATTTTACTATCAACGACAGTAATATAATTACGTTGACTTGTCAACAAATCAAATAAAATAAAAAAAAACAAAATAAATAAATAATAATATTACGTTAATTTACTGTAAACGGCAGAATAATTACGTAAATGTATTGTCAACGGCAGTACAATTACGTTAATATATTGTCATTGACAATATAATTACGTTAATTTATTGTCAGTGACAGCACAATTACGGTCAACGTTTAGCGGCGGACGTAAAAAAAATAATAATAATAAAAAAAAACACCAAAAAAAGTCAACGCCGGAATCCGACGGCGGAAAAAAACTGACCAGAAGAAGAAAAAAAAAGTCAACGCTGGAAACCGGTGAAAAAATTCGGAAGAAAGAAAAAAATAAATAAATAAATAAATCGAAAAGTCAACGCCGGAATCCGGCGGCAAAAATTGGATTTTTGTTGTCAAAATTGAATTTTTGTGGACAAAATTGATTAAATTGGGGATATAATTAAGAATTGAGTATAAAGGGTTGGGGGTAATATTGTCATACACATGAATGCTTTCTTTATTTATAATAAATAATAAAAGGATGTGCTTATTGATGAAAGGGATACAACCCATAAACCTAGAATAATAAAGATACTTGTTTGTTCCAAAAAAAAAAAAAATGCTTGATTAGGAACCTATGCACAAAAACCCCTTCTTTCTAAGCAACCCGTGAGATTGTAGGTAGTTACGGTTTATAAAATTACATGTGCATTCCTTAAAGTTAGATTTCAATTACTATATAACTCTATCCAACCATTGACTTATACTATTTTCAAATTTGACCAAATGTTGAGATAAGTACATGGTCCTACTTTTGCCTCGAATAGGGGTTTAAATCGGACATACGGATCGAATTAGCCTTTTCCGCAGAACAATTGATTTTTTTTAGAAGTGAAAAACTAGTTTCAACTTTGTTCCTGAAAAAACGGAAAATAAAGAAAACTGAAGTGAAAAAATTTGTTCCAAAATCGTAAAATTTCTGATTGGAATCCGTGTAGTTTGGGAATTTTCAATTCTTGGTTACTTGAAATATAAAATACATAATACTACTAGTATTTCAAATTTAATATTCGGAAAAAAAAAAAACTTAATGTTCAAAAATTAAAATTAGATTGAAAATCGGAATCTCACGATCCAAATAATTTCATAAAAAATAAAAGTGGATGTCGGAATTTTGGAATTTGGATTGAAAAATATTGTTCCACAATCGCAAAATATCAGATCGAAATGAACTGGAATAATTATGTTCGAATTTGCAAACACTTAAATTATAATTTAAAGCTTCCGGGCGGCGTCGGATTGGGAGGATCTCTGGAGTTAATTAAGATATATGTATTTATCTCTCCCATCAGCCGAAGTCATTTATTTATTGAATTGAAAAAGACTTTTATTGCAAGGGTTCTTATAAAGACAAAAACATGTAATATGAAGAGAAACTAATCGATATGGGGAAACGGGGAACGTATATGGGGAAACGGTATGTCCCAGAAATGGGGATACGAAAACTTGGGGGAAACGTTGAAATATTAAAAGTATAGGGTTATATTTACAAATATGTTATATAGTCATATATAAGTTTTTATTATGGCGGCGGTTATATGCAAGTCCATTTTTTTATTAGTTCAAAATTACATAAATGAATTTATTAGTTCAAGCCCGTAAATTAATTTAATTTTATTACATCAAGATCAAAGATGACAAATATACCCTTATCCACAAATAATACTCAAATACAAATAAATCTTATTTTTGATTTGTTCAAGACCAAAAATCAAAAAAAAAAAAATTATCACGACTGCCAACCAACGAGACTTTCACCGCACTGGCGATGACCAGCGAACCACCCACCGCACCATTACCACCACCAACAAGTAAATCCATTTTACTAAACTTTTGTTTGTAAATTCGAAAACATTAATCGAGTATCGATGTCCTTTTTACTAAATTTTTATTTGTAAATTCGAAAACATTAATCGAACATCGATTCTTGATAAATATGTATGAATGAACATTAATCTATGCTTATTTCTTGTTGGATTGCAATGATTTGGCCGATTTTGGAAAACAATTGAGATTGAAATTTGTTTTTATTTTTATTTTTTTTCGTTGGTTTCCGAAATCGGTTTATCCAGACCGATTTTGTACACGAAAATCGGCGTCATAATACTGATTTTTGTTAACCAAATTGGCGACACAACGTCGAGTTTACAAGTCAAAATCGGCGTTCTAATGTCGAATATTGAGTACAAAATCGGTTTTCGAATACCGATATTTTTTGAATTTTTTTTTAAATAATACATTATATATTTGGTTAATTGATATTTTTTAAATATTTGAAACGAAAATGTTTATCACCATTCGGTGGCGTCTACCACTCCTTTAACCCAATCGAGTAGAGCTTTCCGTATCTCAAATATTTATTCGTTAGATAATTCATTTGAATAATCCTCCATCAATCCCCTAGGTTGATACGTTCTTAAAAAAACACAGATAATAAAATCGGTATTTAAAAACCGATTTTTGTAGTACAAGTCGGCATGACAATACCGATAATAAAAAGACAAATCGGTGTTGTCATGCCGATTTTTACTACAAAAATCGGTTTTTAAGTACCGATTTTTATTAAAATAATCGGAATGTGGTTACCGACTTTAGTAACAAAAATCGGTATTTGCAGACCGATTTTTTGTATCGTCGAATTTTTTTTCCAACAAAAAATTAAAAAACGACCCAAAAGCAAAAATAAACGGTTAAAAAACATATTTCATTGTGTTCTCCACCCTCGTAAACCACCATATCATTGTTTTCTGGTTCCATCGTGAATGTTTGGTATGTATTTGATAATTTTAGTGTGTAGGATTTCTTTGTGGGTTTGTGAAGAAGAAGGAAAGTTTTAAGTCGTGAAATAAGGAAGACGAGTTTCTGGATTTATGTAATTTATTTGGTCTTGCACAAAGGAAATGATTTTTATTTTATTTTTAATGTTTTGTGTTTTTTATTTGATTTTAAATTTCATTAAGGGTAAATTAATATTTTTATATTGAAGGTCTTGAACTAATAAAAAAATGGGCTTGCATATAACCGCCGCCTTTTATTATATATAAATTCTTTTTAAATATAATTATACAAACATATTTAAAATAAATTTTGCTATCAACTGTAAATTTGTAATTTATCCTTAAATCATGTAAATAATTAGGGAAACAACAAAACTATTTGAAAATTTGCTATTCAAACATGTTTTTAATTTTTTAGAAACCGCAAAATGGTTCATAAGGTGTCAGACGGATGTCTTCGTTTCCGACACAACATTAAGAAGTTGAAGTTTCCGTGCTACATAGGCGTTCATGCCTTGGATTTCATCGACTTCCAGTTGTAAAAAAATGATCTTAAAATTTTACATATTTGGATAAGAATATATCAACTGCTTTTATAATATATATTTAGTATCGATCGGGGTATCCATTCCGGCAGTTGGTAGTAGGGGTGCAAGTTGGAACGGAAATTCCATTTTCCGCCGGTTCCGATCCGAAAAGTTCCGATTTTGGAACAACTTTTTTCATTCCGACTTCCGAAATTCCGATTTCCGAATTTTTCCGATTTTTTTGGATTGGAATTGGAATTATATAAAATAAATTTGGAATTTCCGATTTCCGATCCGATTTGATTTCCGAAATTAATTCCGAAAATTTCCGATTTTTTTTCTAAATATACACCTATAAATAATAAATATTATATAATATTTATTTTTCCGAAAAATATACCTATAATTTTTTTTTTAGGATTTTGACATAATGAATTGTTGTTAGAAGTTTTATTAGATATTATGTTGTGTTTATTTTTATTTATTTTTTGAACTGAAATTTAGTAGTTATTAGTTTTACTTTTATCGACGTGGATGTTCTTATTTTTGGAAAATTATGAATATTTTAGAAAATTTTCGCTAAGTTTTGAAATTTTTAACCTTATGTGATTTCCGATTTTTTCCGAAATTCCGAAATTTCCGGGCTTTTTGGAATTGGAATGAATTTTTAGATTCCGAAAATTTTGGAATTGGAATTGGAATTGATTTTGTACTTCCGAAACTTTTTGGAAATTTTCCGAAAAGGCTAATTCCGATCCGATCCATCCGACTTTCACCCCTAGTTGGTAGATATATAACAATTGTAATACTTTTGATTCATAACATAAATATAAAAACGAAATGCTGAGTTATGTCTATATATAGCATAATAAAACAATAGGAGAAGAGTTAAAATTTACTGTCTTTATACAATATGGGCAGCCTCCGCCAAAAGAACTTTCACTGTCGGTCGACGCAAAAAAAATGGTGATCTACCCAAGAGGTCGTTGCTTTGTAGCTGGCGATGCAAGATGGGAACAATAAAGTTGTGCTCATATCTTCCAAATCAAAGACATAGAGAGACCTCTTGTATGGATTTGTGTACTGTCGAAGAGGAACAGCAAAATCCACCGCCAGTGTAACTCAGGAAAATTGCTCGTTGGCCTATATAATCTAGTTCCACACACTTCATCCGATCGATATCTATTTGAAAAACTTTAAAATCCAATCCATCTGTGTTAAATTTGCATGAATAAATTTTCTGAACCAAGAGGAGCTCAACCTTACCACCCACATGTGCCAAGGCTCATCCACCATCATTATCGGGTTGAATTCAAGAGTGTTGCCCACGAAACTAATACTTACGAATAGGATCGACAAATTCATAAATCTTGCCTTCAAAGGACCCTACCGCCCTCAATCTGCGCCAATCGCGACCTTCGTCTACTTTTTTGACATGGGAAAACTCTTCATCACCAATTCGACAAAAAGATTGCTCACTAGTACAAACCGAATTGAACAAGACATGACAACCAGATTCAGTGGGTGGTTTCGACAAGACACATATATTGTACATTGACACTAGTTGCAATTTTGGGAGCTCAATTTTCTCCATAGATATCGGATTCAAAAGACAACAGCAGTCTATTCATGGTTTTGTTAAAACCAACCATCCGTAACTACAAGCCAATACGTCCATACCATGCAATATAGGAACATTATTTAAAACACGAGAACTATTCTCCAAAAGGTTGTAAATTAAATGCTTCCGATTCTCGTTGCCGTGTGATATCAAAAGCACATGAAGTTTGCTCTCCATTGTTTTCGCCAGAGAAAAAAAATACAAACAAACAAACAACAAATAACAATAATCGGAAGAGAGACACGATTAATAAAGAGAATACCAATTTTGTGTTCCAATTCTTATTGCAACTCCCTTATCTTATTAATAAAAGTAAGGTTCCTCCTACTAGACCCTATGAAATTTTTCCCGCTCATTTGATAGTTATAATTTTTATTTATTTATTTAATTATTTATTTTTATTATTTAATTTCATTTAATATAATCAAAGTTAATAAATCCACTAAGTATCCAGATTTTTTGACCCGATTCTTCACATGTAGTCAAGTCTTTTATGTGTTCAATTTTAGTTTTATATATGTAGATGATGTTTTCTTAATGATTTTTTGTTTCATGTGAATACACATAGGTTAATGGATTGGAATAGTATTCCCGAAGAGCTTCTTGAGTTAATATTATCGAACGTATTTGCTAGAGAGAGATACAATTTCAGCTTAGTGGGTCGATCTTGGAATGCAGTTGTGGCAACCTCACAATTCCGTATTTCGCCATGTCTGATGTTCAATCTAAAGAGGAAGCATGTTTGAAAATTGTTTTCCCGCTCATTTGATAGTTATAATTTTTATTTATTTATTTAATTATTTATTTTTATTATTTAATTTCATTTAATATAATCAAGGTTAATAAATCCACTAAGTATCCAGATTTTTTGATCCGATTCTTCACACGTAATCAAGTCTTTTATGTGTTCAATTTTAGTTTTATATATTTAGATGATGTTTTCTTAATGATTTTTTGTTTCATGTGAATACATATAGGTTAATGGATTGGAATAGTATTCCCGAAGAGCTTCTTGAGTTAATATTATCGAACATATTTGCTAGAGACAGATACAATTTCAACTTAGTGGGTCGATCTTGGAATGTAGTTGTGGCAACCTCACAATTCCGTATTTCGCCTTGTCTGCTGTTCAATCTAAAGAGGAAGCATGTTTGAAAATTGTTTCAGAACAACGCTTTCTTCTACATGGATTTCCCCAAACTCGAGAATGCAGTAATACGCTTCTCCAATCACGGATGGTTGCTCATGATATCTCGTGATGGTAAAGCTCTATTTTTGTACAACCCGTCTGACAACCATATGATTAAACTACCCACACCAACAGATGCCTACACTACAATATGCTTCTTCCACCTGCCAACTTCCTCGAAGTGTTTCGTCTTTGGAATTGCAACTGAAATGGTGTTTCCATTCGATAAGCTAAGAGTAGGGATTCTTAAACATGGAGAAGGAAAGTGGGCAACCAGTCTTACCGGCAACAAATATCATGCATTCATGTCGTCTCTTGGCCCCCCAATTTATGAATATGGGTTGTTATTCTTTTTGGATGTCAACGGAAATGTAGCAGTCTTTAATGTCGATGAATTTGACACTTCTAAGGATTGGGCTGTCTTTATACGGTGTCTCAAGCAACGACGGCTTCGTAGAAATATTACAGAGCATTACTTGATCAAACCTAAGTGCGAGAAGAACATCTTTGCTGTATTTGCAATGCATTACGACATCAGAAAAGTCAGAGTATTTAGGCTTTCGAATGATTTTGCGTGGGAATTGGTAGAAAATATAAGGGATATGGTGTTTTATGTAAGCAACACATCGTCTTTCGGTCATAAGACTAATGTAAAAAGTCTGATGAACAAGATTTTCTTCTCGAAGTTCCACGGAGATAATGTTGTTGTTACTCTCTCGATTCACAGAAATATCATTCTTTTGAGGGCGATTATTCAAGCGAAAATGCTCATGGTTCTAGAAGATTGGACTTTGCAGCTTGGACGATACCTGCGTCAATTGATCCGCAACTTCCGAAAGAAGCAATGACATGGTGTCCACAAGTGGATCAGACTACAATTTAACGTTAATTTAAGTAGATTTTATGTCTTATATGTTGTTATGTTGTATATTCATTCAATTTTATTTTTTTTTCAATTTTTTTTAGATATAATTTCAGTGCTAAACATAAAGTTATATTAAGTAGTCGATTTTTCTATTGTGTGCAAAAAAAGAAAAAAATGCATAAACTGCAAATTTTTGTTACTAGTAATAAATAATACAGGGGAGTTTGTTAACAATTTGAAAATACAGGGGTGTTTTTGCAATTCCATGATTTTTATAAGTCAATTAGTCAATACGCGAACGCGATTATCAAGAGTCGCGTTTTTAGGGTTCGCGCTTCTAATAGGGATTTGGGAATAGTTGAACCCAGCACTCTTTCTTCTTCTTCCTCAATTTCTACTGTATTTGGCCCAAGGGTTTCAAAGTTCTGCAAATGGAACCTGTAACCACAGTGGTCGATAAGCTGAAAGGGTTGGCGAAATCGACGGAGGACTTGGCTCAGCGCCTCCTTGATCGCCGCCGTAATGCCAACCACCGTAGTCCGGTACTCAATCCTACTATTTCGTTTCTTTCTTTCCTTTTTCAAAATGTGAGATGATAATTTGTTCTAAGGTTTTTGGAGATGATATTTTCTCGTTTACTATGCGACAGATTTGATGTAATTTGAGAAATTAGTTATAAATGGTAATTTTCTGCATTGGAAAATTTGAATCAATGAATCAAAGGTGGTTGGCGTGATGGTTAACATGGTGAATTAGTGTTTCCGCTTATGCTATTGGTGATAATTGAGGTACTTCTGATAAGAAATTTGATATATTAAAGCCTCGGGTTTTCTGGAAGCGTTTGATTTGGATTGTTATGTATGGTAGTTTATCGGCATCGGCAATTTTTTTATCAATAAGTGAAATGTTGATCTTGTATAGGCTAACATTGCGAATTAGTGTTGCTGAGTTAGCATTTTGGTGATAATTGAATTGTTCGTGATTTTTTAGTAAAATCTAGCCTCTACTGAATTGTTAGAACATTTCAGGCTCTTTTCGTTTCTCGATTTTCATTAATATGAGTTTCGTATTAATAGTTTCATTATGTGTTACTTCTGTGTTGACAAAATTACGGCTTCATAGGCAAGAAACAAGCTATGTGATGGGGCATTTACATCTCTTCAAATGACATGATTTGCAGATTGAAATATTGAAGCGTTTGCAACGAGAAGCATTTTCGGATATAATGAAGCTGAGAGATAGGCAAGAGAAGGTTGAAAAACTTCTGACTTTTTACAAATCTTCGAAAGGAAGTCCATTCCAAGAAGCAAGCACTCACGTAAAAGGAAAAGTAGATATCCAAGGGGCATTCTTCATTACAGACAATGTTGATGAACACAAACACAACGCAATTCAAAAATCAGGTATTCGAACTGGCATCGATGCAAAGCTCATATTCGAAACCGCAGTTGGGGAAAAAAACGCACTTGTAGCTGAATTTGTAGCCAGTGAAAAGGGCCGGGGCGATGTTTTGGGGGGCCCACTTTCGCTAGCCAAGATTTTTTACGCGGCGAATGTTAGTGATTGGTTCTCTGCGGTTGCGGTTCCAATGGGTGCGCAGTGCAGAGATGTTTCGGTTTCAACAAGTTCTCATCAGGTAAATTGAATCTTGGCGGTTGCATTTGAGGATGGAAAAATTATTTGATTGATATATTCTGCAGGAAAGGGCAATTACGGAATATTCCGAATTCGGGCCTCCACTTTTGAGTCAACACAAGGGAAGTGCTGTTGGAGTAATGGTGAAGAAATCGAACATGGTTGCCTCTTTGGCTCAGTTTGTTAATCCGTGTGGGGTTTCACGTTCGTTGAGCACTTTTGGGGAAGTCGTTTGGGAACTTTCTAGAAACACAAAGCTCTCTGTTTTGGGTGTGCACAGTGTCTCTAGATCAACGAGCCAAAACCCTAGTCTTGGAGCATTGACTTTCCCTATTAGCATATTTCAACGTGACCGTTTTTCGGAGGAAGACAGCCCAACGAGTGGCGAAAGGCGTAACTCTGATGGATCTATTGCTATTATGATGAACAGAGAATTTGACGAGAACTCAAGAATTGGGGGGTGGATAGAGACGAAAAATTCGAACCCCAGAAATGTTCAATGGGCTGTTACAATGAGTGATACACCCGAAGACGAGCTTGGATGGGGTTTGACTTTGGGAGGGTCGGGTCAATGCCTGCAAAATTTGGAACATTTTCAGATTGAATCATTTTTTAATTTCAATGTCGGCAAAAACTTTAAATTGCAGCCAGCTTTTATGTATGTTAACGATGGGGGCACCCAATTTCCGGCCCTGATGCTTCGATCCAGTTGGTCTCTATGAATTACAATTGCTCTTGAGCATTTTCTGTCACACCTAAGTCTCGATTTTTTTTGTGCTAATTGGAGAATTCCTAGGATTGGCTGTTACATTTAAACATATGTGGTAACATAAATTTTGCGTCGCTTTAAATTTTGTTGCTTTCAGGTAGTCGCAGTTAGAAAGCAAGTCTACGATTCCTATTTGGAGTCGACACGGCCACTTCATCGGTTATTGAAACGGTGTGGTTCAAACTGTCAATTCCCACATGACCACTTAATTTAAAATTCATATTTTTTTTTTTCGTGTAGATACGGTTGCCCTTAGTGTATAGGACTTGTTATTAGTTGGTTAGATAGTTTGAATTTTGCTCCACGATATATGTGTGTAGTGGTAGTTAGCAAGCAAAGTTTTTCTTGGATTACTATATCTTGAATTCTTATTCTTCTTGATTTTGGGAGATCCATATCACTAATATATATATATATAGCTGACACAAACACACACGCGTGCGTGCGCAAGGGCAGCTATATATACAGCTTGCTCGATTACAAGTATATCGATCTTGACGTGAAGAATTATGAAAATGAAAATTTTCATGTGCTTGAAACTATTTCCTTTATTGTTTGTCTTGTTTAGTTCATCGTTTTCTGGTGCACTTATAAAAGTACCGGAAAACGCTACGATCCCAGCTGTTATGTTTTTCGGAGATTCGGTAGTCGATACCGGGAATAATAACTACATTACAACATTAGTTAGAGCTAATTTCCTCCCCTATGGCAAGGATTTCATTGCAGGACAACCCACTGGAAGATTTTCCAATGGAAAAGTTCCACCAGATCTTTTTGGTATAAATAAATAAATATATCTTTACATTAATATTATCCAATTAATTTCATGTTTTTACATCAATGTTTATATATATATTTACTTTGCAGTTGAAGAGCTAGGAATAAAGCCTTGTTTGCCTCCTTATCTCGACCCATCTCTCGTAGATGAAGATTTACTAACCGGGGTCAATTTCGCGTCTGGAGGTTCAGGATACGACCCGTTAACATCTAATACCATGGTATTTTTGTAAATTACTTTTATTCGATTATATTATTATATTGTCTGAAATAATTTAATATGATGACTGAATATTATATTGCAGTCGGTGTTTTCTTTATCGGACCAGTTAGAGATGTTCGAAGAGTACATAATAAAGTTGAAGAAGATTGCTGGAGATGAAAAATCATCCTACATTTTGAGGGAAAGTCTATTTGTGGTGGTTTCCGGCAGCAACGACATTTGGAACTCGTTTTTTAATAATCTAAGACAATTTCAGTACGACGTTCCTTCGTACACGGACCTACTAGTAAGCCACGTTTCTTCCTTTGCGCAGGTAATTACCATTATATATTATAATATTTTCCAACATACAAAGTATTAGCTTTCGTATTAGTGGTTACTAAGATTGTAAATTAATATGCTTTCTAATTGTGATTAATTATGATTTGAAGGAGTTGTACCGTTTGGGCGCACGTAGGATTGGCGTATTTAGTATGCCGGCAATTGGATGTATGCCATCACAAATAACTATCAGGAGAATTGGACTCGAAAGAAAATGTGTGACCGAATATAACGAAATTGCGCAATTATTCAACAAAAAACTATTATCTGCATTAACCTCTCTCAACGCACAATTCCCTCAAGCGAAAATGGTCTACCTGGATTTTTACGATCTTCCTCTTGATATGATAAGCAACCCGCAAAAATTCGGTAATTTATACACTACCCCCTCTATTTCATAATAACCGTCACTTTTGAAAAATATTTTTATTCCAAACTATCTGTCACTTTACGTTTTCAGTACTGGATTAAAATGCATTTTTCCAGTTTTAACCTTATTAATTCAACTCTAAGCGTTAGATCTCTCTTATAAATCATTAAATGATAAAGGTTACTTTGGTCATTTTTATTTGATTTTAATAAAATCAAGCCACATTTAATGACAGGATTCAAGATTGTAGATAAGGGATGCTGTGGAACGGGGACATTTGAGACATCGTTGCTTTGTACGTATGCGTGTTCGAATGAAGACGATTATATATTTTGGGACAGTTTTCATCCGACGGAAAAAGCATACAGGATTCTCATACATCAAATGCTCCAAGAAAACATTAATTACTTCATCTGTGGAAAATCACTCTGCAGCTGATTTACATTACAAGATCAACTGCAAAAATCTCGCCCTATATATAAATTATTTCTTTGTCACAAGAAAAATTTGACCCTCCTCATTCACGCATACTTACTTGCATATGTGTGAGTTGTGACTATATCTATCCAATTTGTTATGAAATTTTAGGTCTCGTTTGGTTGTCAAGATAATTATAAATAATCTAATGAAAGTCAATTATATTATCGGACCTTTGATGATTCAGTAAAAAATATGTCTAGAAGGGGCAAAAAGTTATTTAGTTTTTTTTTGTTAGCCAAAAAGTTTTTATTGCATTAAATACTTATGAAACTACAAGGGGCCTCGTTAAAAACCTTGTGGGCCCACACAAGGAAAAGAATACCCCTAAATCGAAGGAATAAAAAGGGTATATGAAGCGTCTATTACAAAGAGGCCCAAAAGGAGGGCTAAAAATGCAATAAATAAAAATTCTAAAACTATAGAAACCAAAATACTAAAAGTTTCAAAATTGCAGAGGAGACCCCAGGCGGGGTGAATATGATAATACGCAGAACATGCAGGCCCCCCCTGCAGAAATCCAGCACCACTTCCAGAATTTGCAAAAAAGCCCCTAGTACCAATTCCTGAAATTGCAGAAACGCCCGAGACCGGGTTTTTTAGTTAACCAGGGATAATTTAGTTAAGGGTAAATTTCACTTTACCCCCTTGTACTCTGCCCAAGAACCACTTTACCCCCTCGTACTCTTAATTTCGTCGATTTACCCCCTTGTACTTGTACAATTTCCCAATAAACCCTCTTCGTCGACTTTTTTCGATTTTGACTCTGACGCCATTTGGTCAAGAGTCAAAATACTGACGTAATTGGATTTTTTCGATTTTGACTCTCGAGATTAGAAAAGAGAAAGTTTCACACATTCATATATTTTTTTCTTTGCACTAGGTGGAATCGATCAATTTTTGGGTCTTGATTTTTACTAAGTTAGGGGTTCAATTTGGGGATATCTTGGAAGGGGAAGTGGTGGGAGAAGAAGAAATGACAATATTGACGGAGGAGAAACGACGCGTTATAGGCAGTGGCAATTTTGTAATTTACAGAGTTGACCAAATGGCGTTAGAGTCAAAATTGACAAAAATTGAAGGAAAGGGCTGTATTGGGAAATTGTACAAGTACAATGGGGTAAATCGATAAAATTGAGATTACGAGGGGATAAAGTGACTCTCAGGCAGAGTACGAGGGGGTAAAGTGGAATTTACCCTTTAGTTAACCAAACGAGCCTTACTTGACAAATTTGACAACTATTTGAAATTCGATAATCACCAGCCAAAACAAAAGAATAATTAAATTTTTAGAGTAAATTACGACCACCTCCTTTGGTCAAATTATGAAAAAAATCTTCATGTTTGGGTAATTACAATCACTTCCCTCAACTATATATTGTCTTACACGTCCACCCTTACTATGTCAAATGTACCTACTGAACGAGGATTTCTCCGCAAAGAAAATACATACTTTCATGGATAGTTGTAATCATCGAAACATGAGAGGTTCGTTAATAATTTGACCCAACTTCAGGGTGTGGTCGTAATTTTCCCGAATTATTTTTTTGGGCCAGAATTGCTTTGGCTAATATTATAAGCTGGCAATACTTGGCATCCATTCACAAGGTGAAAATTTTGAGTGGCCACTTGTTTCATTATGGGCTAAATTAAATTCATATATTTATGTCTATATATATAAAATATAAAATATAAAATATAATTAATATAAATAAAAAATAAAATATTTATACACAATAGTGCCATAACTGAAGTTGATTCCTCGGTGGCCACATGAAAACAACTAAGGCAGAGTACAAAAAGTGGCAATATCTGGTCCCCCCTCTCTCTCTCTCTTAAATTAGTCACATTTTCTATAATCAAGAATCATTACTATAATTGTAATTTAATCACTAATCACTTCACCAAATCCAAAACAATTAAAATTTAATTAATTTCTGAAAGGCACTTTTTCCTAAAGCCAAATTTCTCACATGAACTCCCGTGAAATTGTTGAACCAAACAAAAAAGAAAAAAAAAGAAAGAAAAAAAATCCAGTCTTGAATTCTCCCTTTTCCCCTTTCCACCAACTGGTCTAATTCCCCATCATAATTTTTAGTTAATAAAGCAAAGGGAGAAAGAAAAAAACCAGTTGCCATTTTATCCATGGCAGTTGGTTTCTGATTTTTTTTTTCGAGATTTGAGAGAGAGAGAGAGACCCATTATTCCGCGAGGGATTTGGGAAGATGGCTTCGTGGGAGCAGTTCGGGGAGATTGCGAACATCGTGCAACTATCCGGCCTGAACGCGGCGGCGTTGATAGGGCTGATAGTGAAGGCGGCGAACACGGCGAGGATGCACAAGAAGAACTGCAGGCAGTTCGCCCAGCACGTGAAATTGATCGGTAATTTGCTCGACCAGCTCAAGATCACTGAGCTGAAGAGACGCCCGGAGACGAGGGAGCCATTGGAGCAGCTCGAGGACGCTCTGAGGAGGGCTTATCTTCTCGTGAACAGCTGTCAGGAGAGAAGCTACCTGTATTTGATGGCGATGGGTTGGAACATTGTTTATCAGTTTAGATTGGCGCAAGAGGAGATCGATCGCTACTTGAAGATTATTCCCCTCATTGCTCTTCTTGATAATGCCCGGGTCAAGGTAATTTCATCTCGATTTTGATTTTTCAGATGTTAATTTGATACATTGATGAGGTTGATTTCGTGTGGTGGAGTTAAGAAGGGAGTGCGGTCTTTGTGTTTGTTGAAATGCTTCAGTGAGATTCTGGGGAATATTTTTTTTAGTTGATTCCCTAATATTGCAGTCTTGATTTTTTCAGCTTAAAAGGGATCTAATTGGAAGATCATCTCTTCTTCTTTTGTTAACCTCCTCGTACTAGTTACGATCGTGGGTTTCTGATTTTCCGGCAAATTATTGCTAGTAGATTAGGGTTTTTGTATGTGGATTATCTGAATATTAGTTCTTGCATCTAAATTATCCAATTAGGATTAACGTAGGGCACACAAATAATTTGCGAACTTTTGGGTTATTTAAGCAATGTTTGGAAGTGTTTTGGGGCGTATTTCCATTTTCGTTTTGGGAAAAGATATTTTCGGAATATAATTCGAGAATGAAAATAGTGTTTGTTCATATTCAGTCTTTATTTGGGAGATGTATGGTTAGATGAGTAATTCCTACCGATAAATCTTTCAACTAAAGTATACATATACAATATGTATATACAGGAAAGGCTTGACGAGATAGAGAGGGACCAGCGAGAGTACACACTAGACGAAGACGAAAGACAAGTGCAAACCGCAATTTCCGAAAACGACGTGATCATCTTGAAGAAGAGTATATCTTGCTCTTACCCAAATTTGCCTTTCGATAAAGCACTACAAAAAGAACACGAAAAGCTCAAGGTAGAGCTTCAACGCTCACAATCTAATATGGATGTGGGCCAGTGCCAAGTCATCGAGCGTCTATTGGAGGTTGCTGAAATTGCAGCAAGTTCTGTCACCGACAAAGATTCTTCGCACAAAGCCTCCCAGGTTTCGGAGCCAGTTAAGGAACACTCGTTCAGTGAGAATAATCCGAGGAAGTATGATAATACCTCAAAAGGCTCGAGGTTCATCTCCTACTTTTTAACCTAAGAAAAAAAATTGTTCTTTTTTTTTTCCTTAATATTATTTATTATTCCCTGCATGTAGAGAAGTTACAGTTTCGAGAAGTCATAATATGACAACCAACAGAGATGCGATCAGGCAAGATAAATGGCATGCAGATTTACTCGGCTGTTGTTCTGAACCTTACTTGTGTATGTTTTCTGCATACCAATATCGACTTTGATTATATATATATATATATATATATATATATATATATATATATATATATATATATATAATTTTCATCGAGATGAAGATAATTTATATTGATCTATATGCAATGGCAGGTATAAAGACCTTTGTTTGTCCATGTGATACACTTTCAAAGATAGCATCAGTGGCAACCGGCAAAGAAATATGTTCGTACATTTTTTTTAAATCATACGACCATATTTATTGTAATTTCAGACGGAAAGTAAATAAATAAACGGGGTTTTTTTTTTATGACAGCATCAGCAGAGGCTTGTAATGATATACTGGCTTATTCACTGATACTTTCATGCTGTTGCTATACATGTTGTCTTAGAAGGAAGCTCCGACGAACTCTTAACATCCAGGTATACCTCACTCTTTTTATTTATTTATTTATTCATAATACTCGGTTTGTATATGCAACCCACATTATCGAATTAAGTTTTCGTTAAGCGTAGTTCAGCGATTATACGTTTAATTAATTACCAAAAAGCCGATATTAGTGCACTGAGCCTAATTTCATGCAGGGTGGTTGGTTAGATGACTTGTTATCACACATTATGTGTTGCTGTTGTGCACTTGTCCAAGAATACAGAGAACTGGAGATACGAGGTCAAATTATTCTTCATTCGAATTACGATAAAAATATTATTTTTATTTATTTATTTAATCAGCCGATAAATTTGTGATCTTACAGGTGGACTCCAGACTTGGACTAGCCCTCCGAAATCTCAAAGTATGGAGTACTGAATGATTCTTCGGAATATTCCGAAGTTCCTTTTTTTTCCATTCGGAAGGTAATGGCTGCAGAACGAGAGGCTTATGTGACTGTGCAGATTAATATAACTAACATATTCAGTCGTATTAAAACCGCTATTGACATGTGTGAAAGAAGCGCTTCCGACGAGAATACATGTGTATAGTTGATATTTGCTACTCTCTGTTGTATCAAAAGGACTGAATTTGTGATGTAATTGAAATATTCTTATTTCATGTGCAAAAAAAATGTTCAAGTGTCTGTACTCTGTTTCTAGGAAAATTTTACTCTCTATTTTATTGGAAAGTAATTGTAACATGGTTTTGTTTTCTTGGATTTATTGCGTTGGACTCGATTTAATGCAAGTGGTTGGAGTAAACGAATTTTACATAAATATCAAAACATTGGAGCAAACATCAAATTAAATGGATGTTTTTAGTTTGAAGCGTATGGACTATGGGTGAGAGTTGGAACGAATTTCCAATTTCCTCATGTTCCGATCCGAAAAGTTCGGATTTTGGAACAATTGTTTTCATTCCGATTTCTGATTTTTTTGGATTGGAATTGAAATTATATAAAAACATATTTGGAATTTACGATTTTCGATATGATTTAATTTTGGAAAATAATTCCTAAAATTCCGGATTTTTTCCGAAACATACACTAATAGTTTCCGAAATTTCTATAAGTTTTGAAATCGAAATGAATTTCTAGATTTCGAATATTTTGGAATTGGAATTGAACTTTGTTTTGTACTTCTGAAAAAAAAAAAAAGGAAATTTTAAAAAAATGCTAATTTCGATCTGTTCCATCCGACTTTCATCCCCTGGTGTACATATAAACTTGCAATTTGCAAGCATGTACGTGAACTATTGTGTATTTAAAATATAGTTATAAGAACTAGGTTTATCTCCATGCTATATTCAAAGTTAAAGTTAGACTAATTTTTAATTATTAAATCAAACTCTACCAAGTACCATATGTGTAAATTGTATCGTGTGTGCCATTCTAGCCAATTTATTGAATAAAAATTATTTATTATATAATAAATAATTTTAATTTTGAATATTCATGAATTTAATTCGAATCGAGTTGGATACTTATCTTGTGCGAGAAGATCGTTCACAAAGTACACGATGGTTGACTAAGGGGCAAAATAGTCATATCACCGGGAAGAGTGTTTGGCAGACACAAATTTGATATCTCCATTCCGGAAATTAATAATTTAATATAAAATAGGGAAAATCGACGCACCCCCTTTCCAGAAATCACTAAATCCCTAAAAAGCGAGGCCGTTCCCATTTCTTCTCTCTCTACTCGGTCTCTCTCTCTCTCTCTCTCTCTCTCTCTCATCAGCACAGATTTTTTTTCAGTCTCTACAGATTCGAGAAGATGTCGTCGTCCACGGCGGAGAACGGTGGCAAGAAGATAACGCTGAGGAGTTCCGATGGCGAGGTTTTCGAGGTGGAGGACGCCGTGGCGGTCGAATCACAGACGATCAAGCACATGATCGAGGACGATTGCGCCGACAACGTCATCCCCCTCCCGAACGTCACCGGTAAGATCCTCTCGAAGGTCATCGAGTACTGCAAGCGCCACGTCGACGCCGCCGCCTCCGCCACCAAGGCGGACGACAAGCTCGCCTCCGCCGCGGCCTCCGACGAGGACCTCAAGGTTTTCGATGCCGATTTCGTCAAAGTGGACCAGGCCACGCTCTTCGATCTTATTCTGGTATGGCGTATTGAAGTTGTTTTCTAATTTGGTTGCTGATTTTGTTTAGGGTTGTGCGTTAGGGTTTGGTTAGATGTTGGTGGTTGGAGTTTATGCTGGCGTTGATTGCTTTGTTTTCAAATTCGCCTATTGTTTCTGTTAATTGTGTGTTCAATTGTGATATTGCCTGTTGTTTTCCTGCTATTAACTGTAATAGGTGATAGTTTTATTGCTTTTGTTCACGTTTCTAGATTTTCTTGCCTGCATTAATTAGTGTTGAGTTGGTTATTATTATACTCGGATGGCTGATGAAAAAAGTTGTTGCTTGTGTAGCATACACTAGGCAATTGCTTGCTTGTATGAATCTTCATGTATTTATTTATTCGTTGTGGACTATGTTACGGGTTCTCTATATGTTAGTGGACTCGGATACTGGTGCAATGATTGCAAACTGTGATTTGGAAGTTTTGATTGGACATGGTCTGCGTTTCCCCTGCATTTGTTGTATGGACCTACTCCAAAAATCCTTCTGCTCTATTGTTTGCCTAAAGCAAACATATGCTTATGATCCTTGTGTAGCATAATCCGATTCGAGTCGAGCACATTGTATTATCTTGAATTACACCTACAGAATTTGGTATAATCTAATGGTCATTGTTCTTGAAGTGGTTCTCGTGCAATTTCTTGGGAAGAGGGTTACAAATGGACACGTAAAATTAGTTACACGTGGCATGCAAAATATAATCTAATGATCATTGTTCTTGAAGTGGTTCTCGTGCAATTTCTTGGGGAAGAGTACGAATGGACACATAAAATTAGTTACACGTGGCATGCAAAATGCTTACTTCCCATCTTATTCATTTTTGTCTCGTTTTGCTGATTAACACAATCACATTCATTTCTGGCAGGGATCTCGAGTATGGCTAGGTTTTGTTATTATATGTAAAATCACATGATTAACAGATTGGCATTTCATTTTCCTCTTTGTTGTTCTGTTCCTCTTTACATTAATTACGATCTTGATTCTCTCGTTTTTTTTCCCAGGCTGCTAACTACCTGAATATCAAGAGCCTTCTGGATCTGACTTGCCAGACTGTAGCTGATATGATCAAAGGAAAAACTCCCGAAGAGATCCGCAAGACATTCAACATCAAGAATGACTTCACCCCTGAAGAAGAAGAGGAAGTGCGAAGAGAGAACCAGTGGGCTTTTGAATAAAGAACAGAAACTCCATGGAACCAAAAAAATATCTGCAGCTCTCGATTATGTTTTTTTGCTTGTTTGCAAGACAGATAAATTCTCCAGACTTGCTATTACATGTATTTTGAAGTTTGCTTCCTTCTTCTTAGACTGGTTTCTCGAGACTTATTTCCTTCATTTCTCTTTTCTTTTGAAGATTGTCTATGTTAATGTGACATATTATTTTGCATATTTCAATTGACGCACCTCGTATTCCGTATTTTACTTTTGTGCGTCCTGCGTAAATGGTATTTCTAGGTTGGAGAAAATGGAGAATTGAAGGTAGTTGCTTAATTGCTAATGGGGCCCTTCCATAGTTACTGGGAAGTATTTTCTTGATATGATTTTAATAGGATTATGTTCTCTGTTCTCAGGAATCACTTTCAGCAAAGTATATATGTTAGGGTAAATTACACCTGCTGCAGGAGTATGCTAAAATAACTTTTAAGGTTCATGTAGTATCTTTAATTACAATCACTCCTGAAATATTGTTAGAAACCCTAACGGAATAATGCATTGGGAAAGTTATTCCGCTAGGGTTCTAACGGACTGTTAGTTTCAGGAAGTGTTAGAGACAACATTGACATGGCATTCATGAAATCTTGGCTCCGGTAGTTGTTTTAGGGGTGTGGTTGTAATTATCAATATACAAGGGACATTAAAGTTATTTTAGCATACCCCAGGGGTGTAAGTGTAATTTACCCTATATTTTCTCACACTTTTAATACACATTTTCAACTATATCATCACAAAATTCTCTTTTTTTTTAAACTAATTATCTTGCCACAAAGATATAATTAACGATAAAGAAAGATCAATTGCTGCAGCTTAAAACACCAGTTCCATTTTCATTAACTGCTGTATTTTCATGTTACAGTATTTTCACAGTTACAATCATTTCACATCAGCTCATTTTGTGAGGCATTGCTCACAACAAATGGACTCCTAACTCTATGCTTTTCATTCGACCACGTAATTGACCCGAAAAAGTCCTGATAATCGGAATCCACACCGAGTGTAAATATCACTCGGAAGCTCAGTTTCTCGACATTCTTCGTAAACACCAACTTATTCGGCACCACTTCAACACTCAGTTCATCAGGCGCCTCCACCGAAACGGTATAAGTCGAATCTTCTTCGCCGACATTCGTCACAGTTCGGTTCGCAGTTTTGCTCACGTTTTTCTTCAAGTTGGAAACGGCAATCGAAGGATAGTTCATGTTGGAGATTTCATCGGGATTCGAAACATTATTCTTGCAAGAAAAGCCCTCAAGAACAGTCGAGGCAATGGTTTTGATCTTGTCTGTGCTGTATCCGAGGTTGCAGAGAAACTCAACGTAATCGCTCGTTTCTGTCTCGTAAACGAGCCCTGGCTGTAAAGGGCTCGATATGCTTATCTCCCCAGATCCAATGTCGTACGGGCTTGCCCTTTTTCCCGTCTCTGTTGTGATTAATGTATGTACATTGTTCGTCGTAATTGCTGCAAAATGACAATCAAGAAATGGTTTTTTTTTTTTAAATAAAATTTAGAATTTTATATTTGATTTATTTACATATATATATAGAAAAAACCTGTAGTCATAATGGCTGATTTGATAGCAGAGGGGCTCCACTTGGGGTGCTGAGATTTGACAGTAGCAGTTAGACCAGAGACATGCGGGCACGACATGGATGTGCCCGAGAGTATGTCGAAGAGGGGCGGGTCCCGCCCGGGGGCCACGGCCTCCCGCAAGTCGTTCTCGTCGTTGTCGATAACTATCATCCCTATTGCGCCTTGTTGCTGTAAATCGTCGAATTTGTCTCGCGGTTCGTAACTTTCATCACTGTTTTCGCATACAACAATTTTTCCCTTTACTTTGCTGTCATCTAATGAACCTGGAATGCAATTTCTGCCCACCAAAAGCCAAAAAAAAAAAAAGAAAAAATACATGATGTCATTTGTTAAGGTTGATAAAAAAAATAAACAATCTTTTTTTTTTTTTTGTAAATTACCCGGCATCGTCGTCACCGTTTACGTTGGAAGACAATTTCGCCGAGCGTCCATCTATTAATGGATACATTGTCGATTTATTCAGATTAGAGAAGTTGATTCCTCCACCCTAAAATCATCATAAAGAAATTAGTGCTTCTTATTAGTTTCTTGATTCTTGATTCTTGATGAAATATAGTGTTTGTTTTTTTAGTTACATTACCTTAATCACTTTATCCCCTCCTAAAATAATATCGGCCTGAAAATCACGATCGATAGTAGTGGCAGCGACGGTCATGATCCATGGGGCAACGTTCACCGCGGACGCAGGAGAAGGGCCGCTATTCCCCGCGGAGCAGACCACGGTAATACCACGCTCCACCGCATGGAATGCTCCGATCGCGACAGGGTCGGTTTGAAAATTGGGCCTTCCGGGGGACCCGCCCAACGACAGCGACAGCACGTGGACCCCATCGGCGATCGCGTCGTCGAACCCTTTCATAATAGCCGAGCCCGAGCAACCCCCGTCCACGCAGACGCGGTACATTGCGATTCTCGAAGCGGTGGACCCACCCTGTGCGGTCCCCTTGGCGAGGCCGTAGTACGATGCGCCCGAGACGGGGGCCCCGGCCGCGGTGGACGCCACATGCGTGCCGTGGCCGCTCCCGTCTCTTGGAGTGTCGTAGGCGTCAGGGTCAGTGTAGTATTTTGCTCCAATTATTTTTCTGTAGAGTAAAAGAAGTGTAACAAAGTTTTCGTGAGTTTACTAGCTATTGAAGTTAGGTCAAAATTGGTAGCACAATGTGGCGATTTTGCGATTTACTAGGACTGAAATTCAATTCAGACTACTCGATACTAGATTCGGTAGTATATGTGTTTGTATGACTATGTAGACAATCAAATCAGACTACTTGATACTGGATTTCTAGGGCTGAAAATCAAATCAGACTACTGAATACTCGATTTTTTGGTAGTATATGTGATACTTTTGTATGACTATGGTCGACAATCAAATCAAAACTATCTGATACTCGATTTGGTAGCAGATATGTTGATTGTGTGATTATTAGGTCTGGAAATCAAATCAGACTTCTCGATACAAATTGTTGAAAATCAACTTAGGCTACTCGATACACGATTTGGTAGCAAGTATGCTAGTTATGTGTTTACAAGGACTCCACATCAAATTAGACT